ACACATCCTGGAGTCCCGGGGGTTGGCACCCCACGTGGCACAGCTGAGCACTCCTGATCCGGGCGTCATTACTCACGGCGTCCCTGCCCCCCGTCCCCACCTCCCAGGCGCTCCAGGCCCCAGCCTGTCACGAGAACATGGTGAAGGTCGGCGGCTACATCCTTGGGGAGTTTGGGAACCTGATTGCTGGGGACCCCCGCTCCAGGTGAGGGGTGAACATGTGAGGGGCCTGGGGTGTGGGCGCCCCAGGTGTCTCAGGGCTGTGATGACGGGGCTCCCGGGAAGCTGCTCAGCCCTTCGCCCAGACCCTTGCGAGGGAGGGCAGAACCCAGCTCTCAGGAGCCTCTGGGACAGAGGGTTGCAATGGCTTCTGCCCCGGGGAGGCCAGCCTGGGGCTCTGGGAAGGCTCCCTGGGAGGGAGGCGGCACCTCACACAGGGGGACACTTCTGGGCAAGGCGGCCAAGCCGGTGCCCGCTGACCCCTGTGCCCCCCACAGCCCCCCAGTGCAGTTCTCCCTGCTGCACTCCAAGTTCCACCTGTGCAGTGTGGCGACGCGGGCCCTGCTGCTGTCCACCTACATCAAGTTCATCAACCTCTTCCCGGAGACCAAGGCCACCATCCAGGGCGTGCTGCGGGCCGGCTCCCAGCTGCGCAACGCAGACGTGGAGCTGCAGCAGCGCGCCGTGGAGTACCTCACCCTCAGCTCCGTGGCCAGCACCGATGTCCTGGTCAGCGCCCTGGCCCTCCCACGCCCCTCCTCCCCTGCGTGCCCGGCCCTCCCTCCCCTCTGACCAGCCCCCGCCCCGCAGGCCACGGTGCTGGAGGAGATGCCGCCCTTCCCCGAGCGCGAGTCGTCCATCCTGGCCAAGCTGAAACGCAAGAAGGGGCCTGGAGCCGGCAGCGCCCTGGATGACGGCCGGAGGGACCCAAGCAGCAATGACATCAATGGGGGCGTGGAGCCCGCCGCCAGCACCGTGGTGAGTCCCCCCGGGACTGGGCCCCTCGGAGGGTCTGTCTGGGGTGTCGCCTCTTCTCACCTACATACCCCCGTACTTCCTGCAGTCGACCCCCTCGCCCTCCGCCGACCTCCTGGGGCTGCGGGCAGCCCCTCCCCCAGTGGCACCCCAGGCACCCTCGGGTGCAGGCAACCTCCTGGTGGACGTCTCCTCCGACGGCCCGGCCACCCAGCCCAGCCTGGGCCCCACCCCCGAGGAGGCCTTCCTCAGGTACCCTGGGCTCGGGGCTACTGTCTTCTGTCTGTCCCCACCTCGCTCCTCCCTCCCTGTCCCTGTGCCTCCGCCCACCTGGCTGCCGCCTCTCCTGGCCTACTTCCTCTGGCCACTCTGGACTCTCGGCTGCCCCTGGCCACCTTTCGTTGTCCACTCCCATCACCGTGTCTCAGCCTGCTCTTCCTTTTCTCCTCCCCTCCTCCGTCTTTTCTCTTCGGCCCTCTTGCTGCCTGTCTGGGATTGGCTGCCTGCCACGCCTGTCTTCTCTGTCTGCTCTGGGATTGGATGGCCCAGCGAGCTGGAGCCGCCTGCCCCTGAGAGCCCCATGGCTTTGCTGGCTGACCCAGCTCCAGCTGCTGAGTAAGGGTGGCCTCAGGGGGTCGGTGGGCAGACTCTTGTGTCCCTAGGGAGGGTTCGAGGACTGGGAGCTCTCCTAAGGGCTCCTGTTGAGCCAGCTGTGGAGACAAGGACTCCGAAGGGAGTGCAAGTCAGGGCCCTCTGCTGCAGGGGCGGATGGGCCGCCCACGCTGGGGTCCTTTCCCCATTTGAGGCAGTCCGCAGACTGATTCTGGGGTTCCCCGTGGTTCTCTGGGGAGTCTGGGTATGCGGACTGTGGGGTTCTGTCCTTCCAGGGCTTGTCGGCTCCCTCCACTAGCTAGCTCCGGGCCTTTACCTCTAGCACCTCCCTCCCGCCAGTCTCCTCCCACCTCACTCCTTTCCCTGCCTACAGCCCAGGTCCCGAGGACATCAGCCCGCCCATCCCCGAAGCCGATGAACTGTTGAATAAGTAAGGGAGGGGAGGGAGGATGGGTGGGGGTCCAGGGGTGGGGCCCAGGCCCGGGCTCCTCTCACACTGGGCCCCACCCTAGGTTCGTGTGCAAGAACAACGGGGTCCTGTTCGAGAACCAGCTGCTGCAGATCGGAGTCAAGTCGGAGTTCCGGCAGAACCTGGGTATGTCCGGGGGGCGCTGTGAGGACCGGGGCTTGGGGGCCCTTGCGGGGACATTGAGGACGGACTCGGACGGGGACTGCCTCTCTCTCTCCTTACCGCAGGCCGCATGTATCTCTTCTTCGGCAACAAGACCTCGGTGCAGTTCCAGAACTTCACGCCCAGTGTCGTCCACCCCGGGGACCTCCAGACTCATATCCTCCAACCTGGGCCAGCCCCGCCCCTCTGGGTCTGCCCCTCCCCTGGAGGAGGTGGACGCACTTCCCCCGGACTCCTGTCCAGCCCTCTCACCCGAGGGCCGGAGCTCTTGTTAATTCTCTGAGGTTTAGTGTCATGTGTAAGAAGGGTAGTCCTTCCTCCCCCGGGGCAGGAGGTGACTGCGAAGTGACATGAGGGCCTGGCCTGGGGGTCTCGATGATGACCAGAGTGACCTCCTGTGTGACTGGCCTGTCACCTTGCCTCTCGGAGCCTTCCTAGCCCTTCTGTGTAGACCCTCCCCATCCTCCTCACAGGGTGGTTTTGGAGATCGGGAGTGGCCGGGGGATTCTGGAAGGGTGGCCATCATGAAGGAAGTGTTTGAACAATATCAGCCCCCTCTCCCCCTTTCTGGTCCTCCGTGTCCACCCACGTGAAATGGTAGGGTTTGGACCCCAGCACTTGGAGGAACTTTTTGTTGTTCTTTGCTTCATTCATCATCATTCCTGGAGGCCTCTTGGATGCTCAGCTCCGTACTGGACGTGCATGGGGCCGGGGTCTTAGCTTATACCAAGAACACAAGTACTCGTCCTGGTTCATGTCACTGAACACTGAGGACACACTGTCTGTTTGGCAGATGAGGCTAGGAGAGGTTGGCCATAGTTGCTAGGGTGGTAGGTGCTGGGATTCAAACCCATCAAGGCTCTTGGCCTCAGCACGGTGGGACCTGCAGTGAAGGAGGTCACTGAGCCGGTTGGGGAAGACCTGTTAGGCACAGGAGGAATCCAGGGTGGTAGGGCTAGGCCCCTCAGATTCATTGCCAGGAGTCACCCCTGGTTTCTGGCTTCCTTGACCACGGGTGGGCACAGCTGGCCGTGCAGACCAAGCGTGTGGCTGCGCAGGTGGACGGGGGCGCGCAGGTGCAGCAGGTGCTCAACATCGAGTGTCTGCGGGACTTCCTGACACCCCCACTCCTGTCCGTGCGCTTCCGGTGAGTCGGGTGGGCTGCCAGCTGGGCGGGGCCTCCCGGGTGAGGGGTGTAGCCCGACCGAGCCCTTTCTCCTCCAACGCCAGGTATGGGGGAGCCCCTCAGTCCCTCACCCTGAAGCTCCCGGTGACCATCAACAAGTTCTTCCAGCCAACAGAGATGGCGGCCCAGGACTTCTTCCAGCGTTGGAAGCAGCTCAGCCTGTGAGTAGCTGGGGGCGGGGCCGCCGCTGCCCTCCAAGGGGGGCGGGGCCAGGGCTGCCAGGCCCCTGACTGCAAACCCGCCCCAGCCCCCAACAGGAAGCACAGAAAATCTTCAAAGCCAACCACCCTATGGATGCAGAAGTCACTAAGGCCAAGGTGAGAGACAGAGAATCGGGAGAGGACCCCCAGGCTAATATCCCAGCCCTGCCTTTTGTTTGTTTTTATTTTATTTATTTTTAAGGGAGGGAGAAAAACATTGATTGGTTGCCTCTTACCTGCCCCCAAGCAGGGACCTAGGCCCCAACTCAGGCATGTGCCCTGACTTACGGGGATCGAACCTGTGTCCTTTGGGTTTGCAGGCCGGCTCCCACCCCACTGAGCCACACCAGCCAGGGCTCAGCACTGCCCTGGCTGTGGGAGTTTCTCCAACTCTGGGAGTTGGAGGGCAGTGGCTGCCCGACTCCTCGGAGCCTTGTTTGCCCATGTGTAAAGTCCGGCCGATTCCCACTGCCGAGGGTTTGGGGGGCTGGCGTGCCACTCTGGAGGCCAACGGATCGCCCCTTCTGACGGCTCCCCGCCTTCCTCCCCAGCTCCTGGGGTTTGGCTCTGCCCTCCTGGACAACGTGGACCCCAACCCGGAGAACTTCGTAGGGGCTGGAATCATCCAGACTAAGGCCCTGCAGGTGGGCTGTCTGCTCCGGCTGGAGCCCAATGCCCAGGCTCAGGTAAGTGCTGGTCTGGGCCCCCCTCCCCCACGCCTGAACTGGCCACGCCCCCCCAGTCCTCCGGCTCTTGCCTTCCTCACCCCTCCCCTCCCACCCTGGTTGTCGCCTCTATATCCTTTCGACCTTTCTTAGCCTCTCTAGTACCTCTCATTCCGTGTCTGTTTCCTGTCACCTTTATTCCTCCTTCCTGTCTCTCCATCCTCTCGCTTTGCCTGCCCCATCCCTCTGCCTCCTCCCTGAGTCCCTCCCCCTCGCCCCTCCCAGATGTACCGGCTGACCCTGCGCACCAGCAAGGAGCCCGTCTCCCGTCACCTGTGTGAGCTGCTGGCCCAGCAGTTCTGAGACCTGGACTCCGCCCCCCGGGGATGTGGCTGGCGCCAGGAAGCCCCTAGGACTGAGGGAGCTTTGGTGGATGGGGCAGTGAGGGGACTTCCGCTGGTGACAGGCAAGAAGACCCCGGGATAGGGGGATGCCTGGGACCTTCCTCCGGCCTTTTGTATTTTTATTTTTGTTCATCTGCTGCTGTTTACATTCTGGGGGGTAAGGGGGAGCCCCCTCCCTCCCTTTCCCCCCCAAGCACAGAGGGGAGAGGGGCCAGGGAAGCAGGCACCCCCTCCCCTCCCTCCCCACCCCGTTGTGGCCCCTCCTGCCCCCTCCCCGTCCAGGGGCTGTGTATTATTGTGATTAAATAAACAGAGACGCTAACAGCCTGGAGCCCCGTCAGTCAGAGCAGTGGGGTGAGAGCCTGCAGAGTGTGGGTGGCCAGGCCCCGCAGCCCGTAGACGGGACTCTGAGCAGAGAGCAGCAGCAGCAGCCGCCGCGGCCCCAACTGCAGGGCCACCAGACGCCATCCCGTGCCCGGCTCCTCAGTCCCTGACACCAGGTAGCAGGCTCTTGGCACTTGGGTCTGCTGGGCTGCGTCCTCCACCTTATCCTCCTGCTGCCCGGGCTCTGGAGGAAGGACAGGACAAGTTGAGGGGACCGGTGGGGCCTGGGCCAGGAGGATGCCAACCTGCGGGAGCCACGCCCCGTCCGGGGCCTGACTCCAGAGAGGTGAGGGCCTCACGGCTCCAACGGGTTAGTTGTCAGTGACCTGAGGGCTCCTGGCTTTCTCACTCAGCTGTCCCTCTTCCCTCACAGCCTCACTCCCCCTCTTTCCTGGGGACACTAGGAGCAGCCCCAGGCAATCCACTTAGCAACACAAATGGTAAGCGGGCTAGTGACGCTTACCAAGTGTCAGGCACTGGGCTCTAGGACAGGGGACCCCTCAAGGACCCCACCCCACTTTACATGTGGGAAGTGGTGGGGTCAACAGCTCAGTGGACTGTCCTCTGTCCCTCCCGGGTGCAGCTCTTTACACCGTTTTGCTACATTCATCAGGGTCCTCGGTGGCATCAGAGTGTCATGCTAGGTCCCTTCCTTTGTCACTCTGGGGCCTCTTGGGTTCTAGAACAGCTTTTCCTAACTAACTTGGGCTCTGTGGTAGCTGCCCCCCAGCCCCAGCCCCCCCCCCCCCCCCCGCATTGGGGGTAAAGTCTGCACCAGAAGCAGTGGAGTGGGATGTTTTGGTGTGGGGGGCACCTGTGTGTGACTGGTGGCTCTGCTGCTTCTGAGCGGAGCCTCAGTCTGCTCATCCGTACATAATGTGGGAATGACAGCTAACAGGACATGACCCTCACCTGTGAGGCTGAAGTGACTCTACATAAAAAGCACTTGGCAAAAGCACTTGACAGGTACCAGGGTTACCCAGGACACTCTCCTCTCCAGGCCGGGGCCTCCCTGCCCCTCCCTTTCCATCAGTGTGGACGCCCAGTATCTGTTGAGCCGGCCCAGTTCCGCCAGCCCCACCTCTTATCCCTCCTGAGTGACCTGGGTGCAGAGGGGGGCACTGCCCGGCACTGACCTGGTGGGAAGTGCACCGTGGTGACCAGAGTATAGAAGGAGCGGAGGGCACACCGGCGCTGCTCAGGAGAAGGTTCTGGAAGGGATAGGGAGATGGTGACAGAAAGCCCCTCCAGGGCCCAGGGCCCTCCCGGGTGGCCCTCAGTCACCTTTATCCCTTGAAGGCTCCACAGTGAAGAGACAACGCTTCAGTTCTAGATGGAGGAGCAGCAGCCTATAGGAAAGTGGGTGTCATGGCGAGGGAAGAGGGGATGAGGGCCCCAACCCACTCCTCCGTCGAGCCTTACCCGAGGATGTCCGTGTGCAGGGGGAAGCCAGCGGGCAGAGCTTGGGGTCCCAGTGGCAGGCAGGCCCGCAGTGGGTCCAGCATTGGCTGCCACCAGCGCTCCAGAAGCTGTAGGGGGAGTGGTCAGCGGAGGTGGTGCCCCTGAGTGAGGTTGGAAGTATCAAGAGGAGGAGGTGTGCCCATGGAGCAAGGGGAGGGGCGGGGCCTGGGAGGATGGACTAAGGGAAAGGGGGCGTGGCCAAGGGCTCGAGCAAAGTGGAGCGCACTTAGGGAAGGATGAGATGAGTGTCCGGGCGGGTGGGTAGAGGTTGTGATGGGGGAAAGCGGGACGCGGCCCGAGTTCACCTGTGGATCCAGCTGGCTGAGGGGAGGGCGCGGCCCGCAGAGCAGACACAGCTCTAAGCCCGGCAGCAGCGTCAGGGTCAGAAGCCGGTGCGGGACCTGAAGCGGGGCATAGGGTGGGGCAGGCTGGAGTTCTGTCCCTTCCATCATAAGCCCCGCCTCCTATGGCTCGGCCTCTAGGTCCCACCCTTTTGTACCTAGGTGCCTCCATACCCCTGCCGGCACCACTCACCCACTCACCGTGGGACTCCCGTGTGGCAGGTACACAGGGTAGTCGCGAGCGGCCTGCGGTGGCAGGGATCCCACCAGCCAAGGGAGCAGAACGGCCTCTGGCGTTCCCAGCCGCCACCAGCTCTCTGTTGCTACCACCACCCGGCCCGACGCGAGGAGGCTGGCGAAGTTGGTGGCTGCGGCCTCGGCAAACCCAGAGAGGGCTTCCTGGGTACGGGACAGCGAGTCAGGACACAGGAGCAAGGGCGGCAGCGACTTCCTGGGTGGGCGAGGAGTGTGACACGAACCGGCAAACAATTCATAGTTTGCCTAGAGGTCATGCTCAAGTGTCTCACCCTCCCTGGGCCTCCCCTCTTCACCATCACACACGGTTCCCCGAGTCACACCGTGAAGTCAGATTCAACAGGTAAGGAGCCTGCCACCCTGCCAGCAACTGCTGCTGAAGCTGACAATTACAACAGCAGCAGCAGCTGTGGTTTACTGAGTCCTACTGTGTACCAAGTAGGAGCAGTCAACCACCTAATGAGGCTCAGAGAGATCAAGTCCCCTGCTGGGCGTTGATGGTGCCTGGTGAATCCACAAGAGCAGTGGTTTAAAAAGTAAATAGGGACTCGCCAGACAGAAGTTAACAGCATGTGCTAAAGCAGGGAAGCTGGGAATTGTTGGGATTTGTGGGACCCCTGAGGTGGCAGCTGGGTGAGGGGCAGGGACCTCGTCCTGGAGGCAATGGGAGCCACGAGAGGGCTGTGATCTGGGAGGGGCAGGGTCAGCTCTGGCTGTAAAAAGGTCCTCCTGGGGCCAAGTGGGGGTTGGGCTGGGAGCCCAGAAGATGGGAAGAGGTGGAGGCAAGGGTCATGGGGTAAGAGGATGGGGACTGAGACAGGGCCATAAGGGCAGGTTTGAGTTCCCAAGGCTTCCCCAGTACCTGCAGGAGGGACCCCTCTGGAGGAACCACGCAGTCCACACACTGGGTCAGGTCCCCGATGAGCTCGGAGTCCCCCAGGAGGCTGTCGATAAGGCCATAACTGGCCTGGCAGAGGGAGAAGGGAGGTGCCTAGGACCTAGGTGGGTCCTGGCTCCTCTGCCTCCCCATCAGAACAGTGGCCCAGGGGCTGACAACTGAGCTGCCCCAAGAACCCCCACAGTGGGCTGCTGGGAACTGTAGTCCCCAAATATCAGTAACCTCACCCTCAACTCCTTCTTCAGTCTCTCTACATTGCTGATGTTGGTCAGTTCTTCAAGTCCCACGAGAAGAACCTAGAAGAACCATGTAAGAATGTAGGGGTCCTGGACATCTCAGAAGAAAGCAGGGGCTGGGGAACTGGACTCCTGAGTCTGCGGGAGGGCCAGGATCCCTGGGTTTGGGGGCCTAGACTGCTGGGTCTGAGGGAGAAGGATGCTGAGAGTTCAGATTCCTTGGTTTGCAAAAGAGACCGGAGGAGTCTCACCATGGCCCCAAAAACCATCTGGAGTAGTCTCTCCAGGCGCAGCTCCGAGGTGCCCTCCTCAGATGACAGGACGATCAGGGTGATGCTGTGGGAAAGGAAGGCGAAGAGAAAAAATGAGTCCACGCCAGGGAAATGGGGCCATGAGGAGAGTTCGAGTTTGTTCTGGATCCTGGCTGCCAGCTACATCCTCCCCCAGCACAGCCCACTTCTCATACGGAGGCTCGCAGGGATCAGCGAGGGTCACTGGCTTGTCAGAGATCCCACAGCCAAGTAAAAGCTCTCCAGCTGGCCCTGGAAAGCTAGAAAGCCCAGAGGTCGACTTCAACAGAGCCTATCACCGGGTCCCTGGCCCTGGTGCACGCCACCCCTTGGAGACCTGTCATGGAAGCTTCGCCACACCACAGTGGTGTCCTCGGTCCTTGCGGAGTTGAGCTGCACCTCGAGATTCTGCCCAAACATGTGGACTCCATTGAGGGAACCGATGACGGAGAACGGGAGCTGGGGAAAAGTTGAGGACGTTAGACAGGGGCCCCCAATCCCCTCCTCTTTCTAGATTCCCAGGGCACCTCCTAATCAGGGAATCGGGATTATTGGTCCATTGCACCCTCAGCCCTCGGAACTCAACTCTCCAGTCCCTACTCCCTTGAAGACGCAAGAGTCCAAGCTCCTAACCCCCTTCAGTTTCGGAGATCCAGAGATCCAGGGCCCCACCTGCTGGCGGGCGGGGGCGCCGCCGCGGCTGCTTCTGCAGAACAGCGGGACTCCGCTGGAGGCCGCGAGGCACAGCAGATGCACGGTGCCCTCCGTCCCCTCCTCCCCCATCTGGAACCCACCCCAGTTTCTTCCTGAAATTGGTCAGGGCCCGTCTTGGAGAATGACCGTAGTCACACTAACTCGGGCTGCCATCCGAAACCGCCAGACGGCGAGATAGGAAACTGATGGGAAGAATCCAAACCCAAGCCTATCACCGACCCCTATTCCAGCCCCTCCTCCCAAGCCGCCCAGGTTCCCTTCCGGCCCGGCCGGAAGTCACAGTACCCCTAACAAAGATGGCGGCTCTTTGCAATGGTGGGTGTTCCCAGTCTGTCCCACTAGTGGTTTAGATCCTCGGCTGCTGAGTGCGCGGGGGATGGAGTGGGTGAGAAACACAAAAAACAAAACTAGTTATCTGTAACAGCCGTGCACGGGTAAAGGAGGGGAGTGGGTACCGAGAAAAACCTCTGAACTCAGTAGTTCGGGGACGCGCGGAGTCAAGTCTCTGGTTCCATTCAGAGTAAGGAGCTAGCTCACTGCAGGGCTCCAGAAAAGGTGAGAGAGGAGCCACGATCACGGGGAACTCTGGGGTAACACACCCAATCTAAGGAATGAATACTTGGTTCCTGTTATAATGTGATTTCTTACTTTTTGTCCAACTGTGTCTCTTCACATTATCTTAACCTCCATTTCTTTCAGGCCTCCCGCGTTCTGGTGGACCTTAGGGTAACTCCCTTCTCTGCCACCCGCTCTATCGCTCGCGGGGACCGCACATCTTCTCGGCCTCTGGCCCTCATGCTGGACGTGAGGTTAGGCGTTTTGTCTCTGGGGCCACGTCAGTTTGCAATCTGGGAAATCCTGGACCTTCTTTTTACTGCAAAGAAATGTCTTAGCCGCCTGTGTTTAGACGTCAACCCTCTCTCCTCCTGCTTTGACACCCTCTCAGATCGAGGCTACCATGACGAAATTCCCATCGCCACTCTTCCCACATTTTTCAGTTCCTTCAGGCCTTAATTCCCCTCATCAGCCATGAATTCTTCGGCCAGTCGCCTTTCCATCCTGGGATCACACCCCTGCCCTCTTCGACCTCTTTTGCCAATTCTTTCACTTCCTTGGAGTCCTCGACTCTGTCCAGTCCCATATTCCATAGGAATTTCTCCCCAGAACGTCCTAGCTAGGCCAATCATACAACCCCCTTGCTCTCAGGGGCCAGGATTTAGCTGAGAAATTGTACAGCCTTATTTGGACAGCAAGTTGTGAGATCTATGTTCCTCCCAACCATCCTTCCAACCCCTCATTGCCTTGGAAACGGCTGAGATCACAGATCTAAGGTATGGGCAACCAGACCTCCATCGGCCCTGTTGGGATGCATCCTCCAGAACTGGAAATAATTTGGGTACCACTCTTTTAAAAAAAAAACACAACCGACCTTTTTTATAAAACAGCCTGTTCCCGGTATAAATTGGAGGACAGTGAAAGTTGGCAGTTTAACAACTCCCTCAATTACTATACTCCAATTAGATTTACTTTGCCAAATACTAATAAAAAAAGGGATGAGATTCCATATGACTAACAGAGCAAAGGCCTACTTTAATGGAACCAAAGGCCTTATTTCCAGTTCTGGAATCTGCTGAGGACCCTCTAGTCTTAATCCCTCCTATAGAACCAATAGCCCCTCCCCTATTTACCAATATCCAACCTGAACCCATGGGTTCAACCCACTCCCCCATCTCTTGCCCTGCCCCTTGTCCCAACACCTCCCTGGTTCTTCCCCCCAGAACCCACCCCCCCTGTTCATCCATCAGGCACCAGGCCAGACAGCACTCAGGGTGGTGTTAGCTCCCATCCCTCGGCTGGAAAGGGCTTTTCCGTCTTGGGGAGGTACCCACTGGAAATGGGAATGTCTTGATGACCATTTACATCCCCTTTTCCTCCTTGGACCCCTGCAAATGAAAGGACCACTCCAGGATGCTGAGAGAAGATCCCGAGGGGTTCCTTAATCTAGCAAGAGGCATCTCCCGAGCCCATAATTCCTCCTGGGAACACGTCCAGACTCTTTCAAATGTCCTCCTCGCTGGGGAAGCAAAGGTCCTAGTCCTTAGAGAAGAAGTGATAAAGTAAACTGAGATAATGGCAGACAACAAACGTATCAGCCCAGTGTCCGGGCAGTCTGAGATGCAGACCCTGGTTGGAGATGAAGAATCCCATTGCCTCCCCCATTTTATTTTATTTTTAAAGATTTATTTATTAGAGAGGGGAAGTAAGGGAGAAAGAGAGGGAGAGAAACATCAATGTGTGCTTGCCTCTTGTGTGCCCCCTACTGGGGACCTGGCCCGAAACCCAGGGATGTGCCCTGACTGGGAATGGAATTGATGACCCTTTGGTTCACAGGCCCACGCTCAATCCACTGAGCCACACCAGCCAGGGTGCCTCCCCCATCTTAGTGCTGTGATCCTAAAGGGGATTCAGGTGGCGGGGAAGGCCCATAAACCAGAGTAAAAACCAGGAAACGACACAAGGGCCCAAGGAAGACCTACACCTTCATGGAAAGGCTCCAAGAATTCGAGTTTATACTAACACAGACACTGACTCTGTAGAAGGGGCAGCTACCCCCCAGTTCTACTTTATATCCCAAAGGGGCCCAGATATCTGGAGTACAGGACAAAAATTAGAGTCAGAGCCAAGCACCCCCTCCTCAAACCTGCAGGGATTAGCCTGCCAGGTGCACAACAGCCAGGATCAGAAGCCGAGGTAGGAGGCCCAGACAGTTAACCCACTGACTTTTATGTATGCCTGAGTGCACCATTCTTTTACTGGGGCGAGACCTTTTATGTCAATTAGAAGCCGCCACTTGTGTAACAGACAAAGCCCTCAAAGATGACATTCCCGAGGACAGAGGGCACCTCCTGGCTCTAGCCCGCCCTTCATCAGAAGCCAAACCTGCAGACCCGACAGCACACCCAGGAGTAGAACTGTGGTTCTGAGCTGACAGGGAGGTGGGCGGAGTCAAACTGCAGCAGGACAGACTTGTTACAATAAGATACAGTAGCAAGTCGAGTCGGAAGGAAGGACTTTGAGGAATTAAACTCCTGATAGATGAGTTACTAAACCAAGGACTCCAACCATGTCAGTCTCCCGGTGACACCCTTAACCTCTCTGGAAAAAAAAAGCCAAATGGCAAGCACCTACTGGTCCAGGATCAGAGAGCAATCAGCGAGACCACCGAGGATGTCCAGCCGGTGGCGCCCAATTCCTGTTCCTGGTCTACTCTCCCGACAGACCATGTGTGGTACTCTGAGATTTTACACTTAATTTTGCATGCCACTCACCCCGGGGTCTCAACGCCTCACCTTCCAATGGCAGGATCCCAGGACAGACAGAAAACGACAGTTATACTAAACCTGCCACAATGGGTCAAAAACTCACCACCCCTATTTAGGGCCGCCTTAGCTAGAGACCTTAAGGAAGTATCTCTGGAGCGACGGACCCTACTTCAACCCGCAGATGACATCCTCAATGCTCGCCCCACCGAGGATGAAACTAGCAAGTTAGTATCCAGTCTTTTATCTGAGAGGCGCTACAAGGTATCTTGAGAGAAGGCTCAAATTTCCTCACCAACAAGAGGGGGGATTAATATGACAACTCCAGGTTCCAAAAACCTCTTAGGGCGTTTCCAGGGATGGTGGGATTTTGCCACATGCAAGTGCCCAATGTTGGCTTAGCCCAACCCCTATGGGAGCAATCGAAGAGAGAGGACAATGACCCTTTTGAATGGAGTCCCGGATGACTCATCATTCTGAGAGCCCAAAACCTTACGTAGGGAAGGCTCCAGCCCTGGCCTCGGCCCTCCCAGATCTGAGCAAGCCCTTCCACCCCTGTGTACCTGGAGGAGGGCACTGGCCCTAGGAGTCCCCAAAGGCTTGGTCGCCTCACTAGGGTATTTCTCCAAGCAATTGGATTCGGTCGCTAAGGGGTGGCCTTCTTGCCTTAGGTCCATAGCAGCCATTGCTCACTTCCTTAAAGAGAGAAAAATGAGCTTTCTCCCTGGCTGGTGTAGCTCAGTGGATTGAGCACGGGCCTGTGAAGCAAAGCATTGTCAGTTTGATTCCCGGTCAGGGCACATGCCTGGGTTGCGAGCCAGGTCTCCAGTAGGGGGCACATGAGAGGCAACCACACATTGATGTTTCTCCCTCTCTTTCTCCCTCATTTCTCTTCTCTCTAAAAATAAATAAATAAAATCTTTTTTAAAAATAGAGGGAGAACAGGCCCCAAGGCGCAAATGGAAAGGGCTTTAGGTAATAATTCCAACTACCAACTCTGTCCTTGAGTCCCAGGGAATAATAACCTGGGGTCCATCACACAAGGGTGAAATATGTGATGGGCCCGGAACCTGGGGCTATCCAGAACTCGCAAGGCTCCTGTGGGCCTGTATCCGATCTCCCGCTAAGGTTCTGCAGGATAGGTAACCCCTCACGTTTCACAAACTGACTCCGATTCTAAGGCTTGAATACTTCCTTGTGCTGAACCTAAAAGAGAAAATCACCAAGGTCGATATTGTGCAGCCTACTCCTCCTTCTCCTTTCCTGTCTCCCACCAGCCAGTTTCGCTCCCCTGCCTAGAGAGAACAATGATTTGGTTAACATCTTCCAAACAACTCCGCTCTCAATCTGACCTCTGTCCTTTGGGCTCCGCTCTGCCCGCCCCTATCTGTGCCATTGGACCAAGATTCTTCTTTGCTGGGTGAACCTTACAGGTCAGGGGACCGGGGCTAGCCTTTCCCTAAACTACCCAAGGACAAAGAACGGCCACCCACGTGTATCTGGCATACACACGATCCACAAACGTTGGTTTTGTTGGTTGGAAATGTGTATTTCTGCTTCCTCGCAGGGGTCACCCGGGAAGTACCAACCAGCCTATGGGCAAAATCCGTTCCCTGACCCCTAGAGACATCATTGGTGTTAAAAGAGCACAGAGTGGGCCCTGGCTGGCACCTTGGTTGGTTAGGCTGTTATTCTGATACACCACAGCTGTGGGTTCAATCCCCGGTCAAGGTACGTACAAGAAGCAGCCAATGAAGGCATAAAAATGGAACAACAGCCCTGGCTGGTGTAGCTCAGTGGATTGAGCGCGGGCCTGCGAACCAGACAGTCGTGGTTCGATTCCCAGTCAGGGCACATGCCTGGGTTGCAGGCTGGTTCCCTGCAGGCCAATTCCCAGCAGGGGATGCATGAAAGGCAACCGTACATTGATGTTTCTCTCCCTCTCTCTGTCCCTTCCCCTCTAAAGATAAATAAATAAAATTTTAAAAAATTTAAAAAAAAAAAAAGGAACAACAAATCAAAGTTTCCCGCCCCCTCCCACTCCCCTTCCTCTCTAAAATCAATTTAAAAAAAAAGAGCAGACTGGAAGACTGTTTGGCGTGTGTAGGAGATGGTGCCAGTCATGGGCAGATTTGAGAGCGAGGCACCGGCTTCTTCACTGAATAAAGTTTGCACTGTTAATACTATCAGCCCCTAATTGGCTTTAGGACACCAAACAAAAGGGAACCTCTCACTGTGTCCTGGAAAAGGGGACTTCCGTCCCTTAGGTTACAGTTTGATTTCTTTTATTTTCAGAAGAGGAGAAAGAGCGGGGCTCCAGGGTAGTGACCAGGCCAGGGCGTTGCCTAGCAACCTGCAGGTAGGTAAACTGATAAACAGCCGTGTTCCACTCGAATGTGGCCACGGTGCCAAGGGTTGCCTAGCAACCACCCTTCAGTCTTAATTTCCATCCTAAAGCTGTGAACAGCTGTGTGCCACTCCAAGATAGCCTCTTGAAGAATGTGGAGCACCCTTTCTCAGAGCGAAATCGAGAGAAACAGCAGCTTCCCCCTTGCCCTGGAGGATGGTTTGGCCCAGTGAGCGTTGCCAAGTAACCGCCAAATGAGATGGTGGTTTTTGTTGAGGGAAAAAAAGAGGACGAAATCCTTTATTTAACGGAATCGCGAAAGTATGATTTCGTAACGAACTGATACATGCAGAATGTGAAAACACTCCTCCTCAAATCCTTTCTCTAAAATAAAAAAGGTGGCAACCTAACAGAATCGTAACATGTTTTCACAAACAGGATCATTGTCCTGATATCGATCGGAGTCCTGTGGGAGTGTTTGGTTCTGTTTCCGCAGGTTGTCGGGAGTATAAGCCCAACTCGGTTTCCCTGGAAGGCCCTGGCTTAGCTGGAGAAGCGTCTCAGGTCTCCAGGGCACAGTTGCCTTCGGGCTCTTGGTAACGCGAATGCAGCCCCTTCTTGGGGCTGGCAGTTGTTCTGCGATCCCCTCTTTTTATGTTAATTTATGGTTCTCTGTATATCTTGGGGGGAGTGAAGGGATGCTTGAAGACCACTTCTATGACGTCAGAAGCTGAAGTCCCGTTTCCAATATCTAATTGGCCCTGGCTGGTGTAGCTCAGTGGACTGAGCATGGGCTGTGAACCAAAGGGTTGCTGGTTCGATTCCCAGTCAGGGCACATGCCTGGGTTGTGGATCAGGTTCCCAGCTGGGGGCACTTGCGAGGCAACCACACATTGATGTTTCTCTCCCTTCCTTCCCCTCTGTCTAAAAATAAATAAATAAAATCTGTGTATCTTACCATTCGTAGTACATTAATGGAAGGTGGTGATGGCATAGCAGTTATATTTTAAAAAAACCCAAACCCCAAAGCTTTTTAGAGAAGTACAATGATATGATGTTGGGGATTTAAAAGGCTTCAGCATAGAAAATAAAAAACAGAAGGAGCACTGGGTGGTGTGGCTCAGTGGGTTGAACGCTGTCTTGAGAACCAAGAGGCCACAGGTTCGATTCCCAGTCAGGGCATATGACTGGATTGCAGGCCAGGTCCCCAGCTGGGGGTGTGCGAGAGACAACTAATCTATGTTTCTCTCCCTTCCTTCTCCTTTCCCTACAAATAAATAAAATCTTTAAAAATTAAAAAAGGAATGGATAATGTAAATGTGAGAAAACAGCGATACTGCAGTGTGCAAAGGATATGAACCCCTTTTTATCAAATACCACCAGCCTGCACTGGAACAAATTGTCCTGATTTGCGTCCCCACTGGACCATGCCTGAGCCTTCTCATTTCACCCACCCTCATGGACATGACTCTTTCCAATATTAATTAACATGACGAAAGTATAAGACTTCTGATTTGCACTTTCTAATTGGTGAACATGAGTTCTCAGATGTCTATTTGCCATTTTAATTGGTGTGTGTGAAAAAATTCCTGCGTAGAATCATTCCCATGAAAGCAAAAGAAAGTATTTCTACTTTCCTAAGTTCTTATTGATGAGTAAGATGTATTCCTGTAGTAAATTTCTGTCAACACGCGTTAAGATGACTTTCCCATTTGATTGTTTTTTTCCAACTTGGTTTATGGAGTCTTTTGCAGACAAATCAATATTTTACGTTTTCTGGCTTCGCTGTAGTAGGAAAACTTCGAAGTCTTCACTATTATACAGTGTATTTCTTTATGCCTTCAGATATTTGCATGCATGGCTCCATTTGTTGCATTTACATTTTTAATCCACCTGGAACGGGTTTAGGTTCCAGGCCAGTTTCTGGCCCCTCTCCCAGAACACTACTAGCCGGTGTTACCTAGCAGCCTCCACTGGGGAGGGGGGGAGGTGGAAAAACAGAACAGCTGCACTGCCCAGTTGACAGAGACCTTAAAGTGTTTCGCACGAAGTGATTGGACCTTTCATACTCCCCATCCCCCTGTTCCAGAAAGAACTTAACTGGGAACCTCTTTGTGCTAGAAAAGAAAACCAAACAAACAACAACAACAAAAAAGGGGCGGCGTGCACGTTGCCTAGCAACCCGGTGTTCTGCCCCTCCCAATAATACCAGAGTGGGTTCGAGCGCGCGGCTCAAAGATGACCGCCGACAGCGGCGCCTTCAATAGACTTCGCTCTCGATAATCCTGCCAATAACACTCTTTCACATCAGACCTCGAAGGTGTTCGCTCTGCCTTTTCTAACCTGCACGCAACGAGCGAAAAAGTGGACGGTGATAGAACCAGCGCGCCGCGGATGCCCGTCACCAACATGGCCGCGGGCGCGTCAGCACTGGCTCCAGTCTTCCGGCACTGCGCACGCGCAGCGCAGGCGCACTTCCGCTTATCCCGCGGAGGCTGTGGCCGCCGTGGCTGTAGTCGCGGTGGCGTCTTCTTCGCGGGGCATGGTCCCCGGGTCCGAGGGCCCGGCCCGCGCCGGGGGCCTGGTGGCTGACGTGGTGTTTGTGATTGAGGGCACGGCCAACCTGGGGCCCTACTTCGAGGGGCTGCGCAAACACTACCTGCTGCCGGCCATCGAGTGAGTGCGGTTTCCGCGATTCCGGCCCCGCCTTCCGACTGGAGTTTGCCGCAGCCTTTTGCCTGACCCCAACTTTTCACCTCCGTTCCTCGTAGGTATTTTAATGGTGGTCCTCCTGCCGAGACGGACTTCGGGGGAGACGTGAGTCTTGGGACTGTTGAATCCGGGGGCGGAGGGTCAGGGCGGGCCGGACTCCGGGATCCGAGGGAGGCCGGAGCTGGTAGCCACTATACCTCCGGGGTCCCAGATGAAAAGTTTCTCTGCCCTCCCAGTATGGAGGCACCCAGTACAGCCTCGTGGTGTTCAACACGGTGGACTGCGCTCCTGAGTCTTACGTCCAGTGTCACGCTCCCACCAGCAGTGCCTATGAGTTTGTCACCTGGCTCGATGGCATTAAGTGAGTTTTTCTTGGGGGGGGGAGGTTGGGGGACCCTGTGATGGACTGTGAACGGGTGGTGGCTGGGGTCACACTGGTGGCCGAAAGGACTATGGGGGATTGTGTTGTTGTCCCGACGTCACCTCTGTGGTGGGTTCCGTGTGCTCAGCGAGTTTGCCATTCGGTTTGAACTCCGGTACCCACTTGGTACCCTGTGTGCGGTTCTCCATTTTCTGTGCGCTGTTTTTTGTTGTTGTTGTTGTTCATTTGCTATCACGGAAGTGTTCCGTGAAGACTGGAGGGCACACGGAAGCCCAAGTGCAAAGGGGGTGGGGCGAGGCCAGGGTGGATTCCTCTGAGATCTGGATGGAATTTTGTTCGTTCACATCGCCGGTTCTTGCCAGGTGCACGGAGCCTCGTGCCAAATCGCAACAGTACCACAGCAGAAGTCCCAGACCCAGGAGTCCCTGTCCCCTCTGTACCTAATATAAAACACCTCTAAAGGAGGTGAGGTAATAGTACAGGCAGTCCCTGATCTAAGATTTTTTGACTATGAGAGTGCAAAAGGAATAGGCATATCATAAACATCGTTTAGGCAAAGCTATAATGTTCATTAAGTTAAATGCATTTTCAGCTTGTGATATTTTCAACTTATGATGGGTTTATTTGGCTGTAAGTTGAGGAGCATCTGTACTTATATTAGTTATGTATTTACTGTATTATCCACTGTGATGTGAGAGTTTACTCCAAAACTTGGTGGCTTAAAAAACACACATATAGCCCTGTCTGCTGTAGCTCAGTGGATTGAGCGCGGGCTTCGAACCAAAGGGTCGCTGGTTCCATTCCCAGTCAGGACACATGCCTGGTTTGCAGGCCAGGTCCCCATTTGGGGGTGCATGAGAGGCAACTACACATTGATGTTTCTCTTCTTTTTACCTCCCTTTCCCCTTTCTTTAAATAAATCTTTAGAAAAAGAAATATATAAAAAAAACAAACAAAGTACACACATATATTGCCATGGCCCAGTGGACTGAACGCTGGCCTTGTGAACCAAAAGGTTGCGGGTTTGATTCCAGGTCAGGGCGCATGCCTGGGTTGGGGCCCAGGGTCCCCACCTGGGGATGTTTAAAGAGACAGCTAATCAATATATCTCTCACACATACAGGTCTTTCTTTCTCTCTTCCTCCCACCCTTCTCTCTTCTAAAAAGTAAATACATAAAACCTTAAAAAAAAAAAACAATCCAAACTCACAACCTTAAAAACACACACACATGGATTGTCTTGGGCAGTCCCCTTAAGGAATTCAGGAGCAGCTTTGCTGGGTGGCTCTGACTCAGTGCCTCTCACTAGGACCAGCGTGGTAGTCATCCAGGGGGGTCTCATGGGGTCTTCAGAGGACTGCTTTCCAAGGTGGCTCATGCCGTGGCTGGAGGCCGGAGGACCCAGCGGCTTGGTGGCTGTTCTTCACAAGGGCTCCCCATGGGGCTGCTTGCGTGTCCGCCCAACATGGCAGCCGGCTTTCCTCAGGCTGGGCAATCCAAGAGAAAGGAGCCACAGGCTTTGTATGGTCAAATCTCGGGAGGCACACATCAGCATTTCTGCCTCCTGCTTGGTACACAGGTCAACCATGCTCAGTGTTTGCAGGGGTGTGGAGAGCGCGACGTGGGGGTCAGTGGGGCCCAGCTGCTGTGGCGCTGTGGGGAGTGAGATGAGCTGACAATCTGTCAGTGCCTGGCCTGCATCAGATGCTCCCTGAGTGTTTGCTGTTATTTCCTGTCTCCGTTTCTTGGTTTGCACAAGTGGAAGACGGGGTCCCTCTCTCAGTGCTCTGGGGCCGGGTCACAGAAGCTGACCTTCACCCTGTGTGAAGCGTGGGTCTGGTCTGCGGTCAGAGCTCGCCAAACAGCGTCCTTTCCCAACAGCTGTTACCTTTGTTCGCTCCCTCCGAGAGTGTTCGTTGAGTGCCTGCCTTATTCTGGCTGCGTGTGCTGCCCTGGGTGCTGAAGGCCCAGTGGAGAGGTGATGCCCGGGTGTCCCCCTCACAGTCGTTGGAGTTAGCGGTCAGTGGAGAGCAGGGTTTTTCAAGCTGTGCACTGTTGTGACAGAGAAGTCTTTGTGATGGGTGCCGTCCTACGTGTAGGTCAGTGGTGTCCTTGGCTTCTACCCACCAGATGTCAATAGCCACTTCCCTCTCAAATGGTGACAAACAAAAATCTCACCAGATGTTGTTCGATGTCCCCTGGTGGGGTGAGGGAGGCAGAATCAACCCAAATTGAGGCCGGTTGGGATAGACGGTGATAGGTCGGCTTGAATAGTGTTAAGTGGGGGCTCCCTGAGGTCCAGGTCCAGGGCTGACGTCCCTCAGTCCCTAGCACCCCGCACAGGAGGTCTGGCACAGAGGAGGCCAAAGGAAAGCTTCGTTGAACAAGTGAATGAGCGAATGCCCAGGATGCCCTTTGTAGTATATGCTTCAGGACCCAGTTTCAACCTTCCCTGATCTGGCAAGCAGCTGGTTGCTCCCTGCTCTCCCCTCTTCACTCCAGGGTGTTCGCCTGTCACAGCTCTACACCTTTGGACTTGAATGTCCAGGCCCCTGGGTGTTTGCTTCCAGCTGGGGCCTGAAGCCCAAGAGGCCTCCAGAACCCTTGGCCTAGTAAATAAAGGAGTGAGAGCTATAGGGAGGGTAATCTCCAAGAAACCACATCGTCCGATGGGGCTCCTGGGGGAAGCCGTCAAATCCCTAGTAAATCATTTCAGCAGCAGTAGGAGGCCGAGAGGGAAAATGCTCTGTGAACGTCGTTATCACATGTTTACTCTCCTCCTCATACAGTGTGTCTTTAAGCTGCTGAAACAGCGCTGTAAGCTGAGCACATGCTGTGGAATCCTCCCAGTCTGCCGATAAACATTTTAGCTACTGTTTTACATTCACGGTTGTCCTTGATTTTATCAAGTCCTGTGTAACCAACCGTCTAAACTTAGTTCCCATGACGTGCCAGGCAGGCCTGTAAGAGATCACAAAGCGCGTCAGCAAGTTTTGTTCACACTTGGAGGAATGTCAGCTTCCCCGGGAATGCCTGGAATTAAAGAACAAAGCTGGCAGTGTGGCTTTGGAAATGGCCTCGCTTGGGGAAAGTTCATTTCTGAAGTTACGTTTCCTCTCTTACAAAAAGGTGGATTCCGCCCACCCCCGCCCCGCTCCCCCGCCCTGGAGTCTGGTGAGTCAGGTCAGAAATCGAAGGTAGAGGGAAGAGAGCCCCGGGAACCTTCCTCATGGCATTGTGACAGTCCGGTCACTCACTCATTCGTTCGTTGAACAGACATTTGTGGAGCAAAGTGTCCTAGGCACGGAGGAGTCAGGAACACGAGATGGGCAAGGTCCTGGCCCCCTTGCAGCTGGGGTGATAGGCGGGCCGGGGACCTGGCATGGGACAGCCCCTCATTGGGGATGGCTGCCCATCACCTTCATTCACTGGGCCAGTTCCTCCGGGGCCTCCAGGGACCTACAAGCTCAGGAAAGTGGGCGATGAAGGTCGGAGGGTGTGACTGGACAGACAGGAGTTAGAGCAGCCAGGCCACCGTGCGGTCGTCTTTGTTTGACTTTGTAACGTCAGAGGGCTTGCTTGGAACTAAGGTGTATTGTCAGCTTTATGGTATTTAAACCATAGTTTTCTTCTGACTGTATGTTTTTCCCCGCTTTTTGTTTTCAAGTGTTTTGTGCTTCTCGGACGAAGTATTTGCTACATGTCTGAGCTGGTGACAGACGGCTGACGCTTCGTTTTCACTAAGGAGCAAGTTTCAGGGTCTCAGTGGGGTGGGTCAGTCCCACTTTCCTGCATAAATGACCTTTTTTTTTAATGTATTTACTGTTAGAGAGAAGGGAAGGGAAGGAGAAAGAGAGGGAAGCACCAGTGTGTGGTTGCCTCATTCACACCCCCTACTGGGGACCTGGCCCTCAACCCAGGCATGTGCCCTGACTGGGGATCAAACCAGTGACCCTTTGGTTCACAGGCCAGCACTCAATCCACTGAGCCACACCAGCCAGGGCAAAAATAATCATTTACAATTTTTTTTTTTAGATTTTATTTATTTATCTTTAGAGTAGAAGGGAAAGAGAGAGGGAGAGAAACATCAATGTATGGTTGCCTCTTGTGCATCCCCTGCTGGGAACTGGCCTGCAACCCAGGCATGTGCCCTGACTGGGAATTGAACTGCAATCCTCTGGTTCACAGGCCTGAGCTCAATCCACTGAGCTGCACCAGCCAGGAAAAGCAATCATTTTAAAGTGAACGATTCAGTGACATTTAAGCGTATTCATCATGCGCAGCCACTGCCCCTGTCTAGTTCCAGAACACTCCCGTCACGTAAAAGAGACCCCGGGTGCAGAAAGGACTCGTTCCCCCGACTCCTCAACTTTCCCCCAGCCCCAGCCAGGGCGATTTTGGCTGAAGTCTCAGACTCACAAAACAGTGGTTTGATTACTTTAATTTAAAGAATTTCTTGGTTGATTATTTTAGAGAGGGAGAGAGGAACATTGTTGTTCCACTTAATTGTCCATTCAGCGGTTGATTCTTGTGTGTGTCCCGACCAGGGACCAAACCCACAGTCTTGGCATATCAGGACGACGCTGTAACCAGCACAGCTGCCTGGTGTGACTACTTTCAGAACAGCGAGCGGTGCTTGGCTGCACTCGGGGTCGGCTCATTCACTGTGGCCTCTCCCGGCGGGGCCGTGTTAAAGTGAACAGGGTCGACTTCACGGTGCAGAAAGAAAAGGCTGGGAGTGGTGAGCAGTGGGGCGTCTGAGTGCCCTGAGGGGACAACAGTGTCACTGAGCTCACAGGGTGGATTGGGAGCTGAGGGCGAAAGCCTGCAAGTGGGAAAAAACTCAGCAGAGAGCTCGGCCGTGGTGACCCCTTGTCCTGCAGGCGTTTCTCAGACCCTGCGTGTCCTCATGGTGCACAGGGGACCTAATGGTGGCTCAGATCATTTGGTCCCCTCCCCCGGAGGCTGCCGTCACAAAGCCGTACCAACAGGGCAGCCTAGGCCAGCAGGCCAGCACCCAGGAGTCCCAGCTGCGGGCAGGCAGGGCCTGGCTCCTCTGGAACCTGGAGGGGAGGGGCCTTCCCGCTTCTTCCAGCCTCTCGTTCCCCGGAGAGTCCTTGCTTCGTGGCATCAGCACTCCGGTCTCCAAGTTGTCTTTTTCCCTGAGCGTGTCTGTCCCTGTGTCCCACGTCCCCCTTTTGTTCCAAGGACGTGGTCATGTTGGATGAGGGCCCACTCGAGTGGCCTCACTGTAGCCCGGTCTCCTCTGTAAAGGTGCGATTTCCAATAAGTTTGCGTTGTGAGGTACTGGGCGGTGGGGCTTCGATGTGTCTTTTCTTGGGGACACTGTTCAGCGCCCCACCCCCACCCCCACCCCACCCCCCGGAAGGAGAGAAGGTCCCTGCGCCAGGCTGGGAAGGTGAGGCTTTACAGATGCCAAGAGGGGGAGGGACACAGGGACCGGGACACAGCCCAGGGTCCCAGGCCCTGTCCCTGTCCCGTCCTCTTGTGGGGCCTCTCACCGGAGGGACTCCCTTGCAGGAGAAGACAGTGTCCTCTGTCCTCATTCTCTGGGTCTCTGACTGTACCGGCACTGGGAGAGAGCAGGGAACTGGACAGTGTCCCCATGCCCCCAAGGCACAGTGTCCAGGGCAGGGTAAGGGATGCCGTGGGCGTGGGCGCAGGTTCTTCAAATGCTGCCTGGGGGCTGGGAGGTGGCAGCACAGGGTGCCACAGAGACCTGCAGAGGCTGACAGCCAGCCTGGCCTCTTGCAGGTTCATGGGCGGGGGTGGCGAGAGCTGCAGCCTCATCGCCGAAGGCCTCAGCACGGCCCTGCAGCTGTTTGATGACTTCAAGAAGATGCGGGAGCAGATGTGAGTGTGCCTGGCTGGTGGGGCTGGTGTGGGGACTTGGCTCAGAACCTGCTTTGCCTCACTCTGGGGACTGGGGCGGGGGTCAGGTGGCGTCCCCCGGCAGTGCCCGGTCTGGGGGTCCTCCTCAGGAAGGGGGTCTGGCTCCAGTCTCGCCTGCCTGCTGGGCGACCTCGAGTGAGGCGGGAACCACAGGGCCTCAGCGTTCTTGGCCGGAAAACGGGCCCCTTCCTCCCGACTTCCCGTGGGGCCGAGGACTTGCACTCCTGCTGTGCTGCGTCTGGGTCCCTTTCCAGGGCCGTGTTGCCCCCGCTCTGCAACTTCCCTTGTCCCCGGCAGCGGCCAGACCCACCGCGTGTGCCTCCTCATCTGTAACTCGCCCCCGTACCTGCTGCCTGCGGTGGAGAGCACCACCTACTCCGGGTGCACGACGGAGAGTCTCGTGCAGAAGATTGGGGAGGTGAGGACTGCGGGTCTGAGGGGCGAGGGCCAGGGCTGGGCTTCCGGCCGCACAAGGGGTGCAGACTTTGTGTCTAGCTCTGCTTCCTCCTGCTGGGAAGACTAACCCAGAACCCCCTGGGTCCGCTAATGCAGGTCTCGGCGTCCCCTGACCAGAGTCTGCTGGGAATTTGGTTTTGGGGCCCATGCCGCCCAGCTGCCCAACAGATGCGTGCGGTAGCAGGGGGTCAGCCCCTGCGGCCCTGTTCTGACCACTCGCTCGTTCCCTGCAGCGAGGCATCCACTTCTCCATCGTGTCTCCTCGGAAGCTGCCTGCCCTGCGGCTTCTGTTTGAAAAGGCCGCTCCCCCCGCCATGCTGGAGCCACTGCAGCCACCAGCCGATGTGAGCCAGGACCCCCGGCACATGGTGCTGGTGCGGGGGCTGGTGCTGCCAGGTGAGGCCCACACGCCCGTGCGGGGTCGGGGTGGGGATGGAGGGCGTGCTCACCGGCTGCTGCCCTCTGACCTGGATTTTCTTTACCTCTCAAACCCCTTCCCACGGGGCTCGGGGGTCCATCCTTGGCTCTTAGTTGGGGGTGGCTCCGCCCCAGGCCCTCTGCAGCCAAAGCAGCCTGTCCCCCTGCCACCAGCTCCAGCCTCAGGTGCCGCGCTCTCGGCAGCACCCCAGCAGCCTCTGCCCCCCGTGCCCCAGCAGTACCAGGTACGGACATCACCAGCAGGGGGGCCTCCCCCTGCGGCCTGGCTGAGCCCTGGCCTCCGGGAGGAGACCTAGTTCAGTGCTTGGACTTGCGGGGTGATGGGTGTCTCTGCTGAGACTTGAGGAGGGTGGGAGTCCGGGGCCCCGGAGCCACGTTCCTGCGGGGCGGTGGGAGTCGTGAGCCCCCGTGGTGTCGGAGTCAGGGTGCCTGTGCCTTGTGGGGGTGTGGGTGGTGCAGCCCCATGCCACAACGGGGCTGGGGGCTGGTCGCGTGGTCCTCACCGGCCTCTCCCCCCATCCCCAGGTCCCTGGGAACCTGAGTGCGGCTCAGGTGGCTGCCCAGAACGCAGTGGAGGCCGCCAAGAACCAGAAGGCCGGGCTGGGCCCGCGCTGTGAGTCCCAGGGCGGGCAGATGGGGCGGGCAGGCGTCAGCTGGGGTGCTCTCTGCGCTCACCTGCCCCCCCCCCCGTCTCTTCCACAGTCTCGCCCATCAACCCCCTCCAGCAGGCGGCTCCAGGTGTGGGTCCCCCCTTCAGCCAGGCCCAGGCCCCTTCGCTGCCCCAGGGGCCCCCTGGTGCCCCCAAGCCGTCCCCCTCTTCCCAGCCCAGCCTGGTTTCCACAGTGGCCCCCGGTCAGGGCCTGGCTCCTGCTGCACAGCCAGGGGCACCGTCCATGGTAGGTGCCTGCATGCTTCCTGCTTGCGGTCCCACTGCCACCGCGTGGGGGACAAAGAGGGCCCAGGGGCGTGAGTCTTGGGGTTCTAGGTCCTCGGGGGCTGAAGCTACAGACAGCACCGAGGGTAGGGGCGGGGGCAGGACTGTGGGGGGTGTGGGTCCCGGTGGGGGAGGACTCCTGCGGATCCCGTGGGATCCTGCTCTGAGAGTCCTGGAACCCGACAGCACCACAGTGTTTGTGTCCCAGGGATGGGCTCTCCTGGCCTTGGGGAAGAGGCTTTTGTCCTCTCCTGGCTGGCCTGTCCCTCTCTAGGGCCAGCCCCTGCCAGGAGGTGGCCTGACCCGCCCTGGTGCTCCCTTTCCTCCCCGACGCAGGCAGGCACCGTGGCCCAGGGCGGGGTGAGCGGCCCGTCCGCAGCCCAGCTGGGGGCCTCCGCGCTGGGCGCGCAGCAGTCGGTCTCCAACAAGCTCCTGGCCTGGAGCGGGGTGCTCGAGTGGCAGGAGGTGAGTCGGCCTGGGGGCCGCTGGGCCGCTGGGTCTCCCAGAGCAGGAAGCAGCAGTGGGAGCCCGGATTCGGGACTGAGGCGGTGGTGAGGATAGTGCTGCCCTTGAAGGTCTCAGAAGTCTCAGGCTCAGGGTGCAGACGGCCCAGGGGACCGGGGCTTCTAGGAGACAGAGGGTTACAGGGTCTGGGGGTAAGAGGAGGAGCTTAACATTTGTGGGAGGTTAGAGGATTGTGGGGTTGACCTTATGGAGGAGGGGCTGAGGGCTCTCAGGACTTAAATGGGGGCAGATCCAGAGCTTTGGGGTTCCCAGGGTTGAGCAGGAGGGGTCGACGGGGCTGAGACTCGGGGCGCATTGTGATAACCCTTTCTTCCCCGCAGAAGCCCAAACCTGCCTCCGTGGATGCCAACACCAAGCTGACGAGGTCACTGCCTTGCCAGGTCTACGTGAATCAAGGCGAGAACCTGTAGGTCACTGTCAGGGGCGGGGCAGGGTGGGGCGGGCTCAGGCTTCCCGTCCCCTGATGCCTCTCTCTGTGTTGCCCCAGGAAAACGGAGCAGTGGCCCCAGAAGCTGATCATGCAGCTCATCCCCCAGCAGCTGCTGGTGAGCGGCAGGCGGGAGGAGTCCCAGCCCTCCCCCCCACCCCCCCACCCCCCATCCCTGCCCTGCTCCGCTCCGCCCCTCAGTCCTTCCTGCCTCACTTCCCCACTCAACACGCTGGCTGGCCTCTGTGTCTCCCCAGACCACACTGGGCCCTTTGTTCCGGAACTCGAGGATGGTCCAGTTTCATTTCACCAACAAGGACCTGGAGTCCCTCAAAGGCCTCTACCGCATCATGGGCAACGGCTTTGTGAGTCCCGGGGCAGGCGGGACCCGGGGGGTGCTGCCTCCTCTGTCCACCTGGGCTCCTCTCCTTCTTCCAGAGCCCTAGCTTGGTTTACAATGACAGTACACATCAGAAGGAAGTCCATTCTGTGGTAATCTGTGACCGGGCGTGACAGGAGCACTTGGGAAGAAGTTGGCTGTGACCCAGGTTTACCGGACGTATTGGTTTTCTGGGCCTGTGAAGAACAGTAATGTGCTCCGTCCCAGTGCCGGGAGTGCAGAGTCCGAAGCAGGGGCCAGCAGGGATGAACCCTCTGAAGGCACCAGGGGAGGCCAGCGTGGCCTCCTGCAGCTGGTAGCCCCAGTGGTAGGGCTTCGGGCAGGAAAACCCTGGTCTCTGCTTCCCTCCTCCCGTGGCCGCCTCCACAACCCCATGTCTGCACCTCCACAGGGTGGGGCACTCTCCTCCCTATGGGGTCTCTGCTGGCTTCTGAGGCCACCAGTCATTGGACCGGGACCCCTTGACTTACTTGATCTCACCCTAGTTATCAGCTAGGACCTTACTTCCCAGTGAGGTCGAGTTTCCAGGCGCTGGAGTTAGAACTTCTACATGTATATCTGCAAGACAGTTCCCCTCATCACACTGAAGTGGGGTCTTCCCAAGTAGGAACAGGTCAGGTTACACAGGATGTCCTGTGGGCCTGGCGCCTTTCCAGGACAGGGGACTTGCAGTGGCTTACCTTGTGGGATCCTCAGGAACATTCTACAGAGAACAGGAATGCTTTTGGCTGCAAGTAACAATAAACCCAACCAGCAGAGTTTGTTGAACAAATAGATGATGGGGTGAAAAAGCCCAAAACAGAAATTTATTTAACTTTTTAAAAAGGTTTTTAAAAAACTTATTTATCTTTAGGGGGGAAGGGAAGGAGAGAAATATCAATGTATGGTTGCCTCTTGTGGGTCCCCTGCTGGGAACTGGCCTGCAACCCAGGCATGTGCCCTGACTGGGAATCGAACCACAGTTGTTTGGTTTGCAGGCCTGCGCTCAATCCACTGAGCTACATCATCCCGGGCCAATTTATTTGATTTTTAAGAAGATTTTACTTACTTGTTTTTAGAAAGAGGGGAGGAAAGAGAGAAGGAGAGGGAAACATCAGTGTGTGGTTGCCTCTTACACGCTCCTCACTGGGGACCTAGCTACAACTCAGGCATGTGCCCTGACTGGGAATCGAACCAGTGACCCCTTGCTTCTCAGACCGGCGCTCAATCCTCTGAGTCACACCAGGCAGGCCCTAACACAGCAATTTATTCTCTCATGGTTCCGTGGGTCAAATGGGCCCAGCTGGGCTAGTGCAGCTTGGGAACCTTTGTGGGATTGGCCATTCGGATGCCAGCTGAGACTGGTCATGTGAAAGTTTGAATGGCCTAGAGGCGCAGGACTTGCAGGGCTGTGAGCCACGAGGTGCGGGCTGTCAGCTGGGGCTTCGCCCAGCCTGGCTGTCGGTGCGGTGTCTCCGCAGCTCTTCTGAGTGGGGTGTCCCCAAAGTGAACGTCCTGCTGGCAGGCGTTTATTTCTTTTAAAGATTCTATTTGTTAGAGGGCAAGGGAGGGGAAATAAAGGAAGAGAAACATTGATTAGGTGCTTCTTGAATGCACCCCAACCGGGGACCTGGACCAGACCTGTGCCCTGACCCAAAATCAAACCGGTGACCCTTTGGTTTGCTGGGGGATGCCCAGCCCCCCGAACTCCACCAGTCAGGGTGGCAGACATCTGCTTTCGACACTTGACAGGCTGTCCAGAGGGACCGCTGTTGGGTTGGTTTTGTAGCCCGATGATGTCAGGGTCAGGATCCGGCCACGCTTGGGTGTGCAAGATGGCTGTTGAAGCTCCAGACATCTGGCAGGACCAGATGCAGGAAGGCAAGAAGAAAGTGTGGTGTCCATCACGTAGTTCTGTCTTTTCAGGGGAGCAGGCGTTTTCCCACACTCCCAAGCAGGCTTCTCCTTCATCTCCTGGGCCAGATCCAGGGCACTGGGGCCTGGGCCCATTGCTGCTCCAAGCAGAGTCGGGGTTCTCTACACAGGGGAGAAGGGCAGGAGGACCTTGGGAGGATGGCTGGCAGGGTCCTCCTCCTGTGAGATACTAAGGCTCGGAGGAGTAAACTCGTTTGGCCGAGGTCCCAGAGGCGAGACCTCGGCTCGTCAGTCCCTACTCCCTCAAGAGCCCCTGTGCCGAGCGACCGTGTGTTATGGCCCCAGTTCGTGTTTGCTGATGTTTCCTGGGCACTTCCATGTGTCCCACTGTGGGCCAGGTGCCTGAGGTGTGCAGGTGCATCCTGTAGTCATAGCAACCTGTGGTGCTAGTGCTGCTGACCTCAGTTCTGCCTGGGGCCAGGGAGGCTGTGACTGCCCCCTAGGGGTCTCGGATCCCCTGGGTCAGTCATAACCGACCATGCCATTGATCCGTGCGTCAGCTACTGGCTCCATGTTGGGGCCCCTCCTCAGCTGTGAGAGCTCTTAGGCGTGCAGCCCCCCTGGCTGGTGGTTGGCAGGTCCAGGTGGGAGAGCCGGATGGAACCTCCTGTTTGGGTCACTTCCTGTCCACTCCTGTCCGTCATCAGTGGGAGCTCCAGCCTCGCCTTGTCTCTGTGTGCACTCAGCTGTCTTCTGAGGCCTCGGGTAGTTTCTGGAGCAGCCACAGGCGAAACCTCAGCCTCCACCTTTCCCACAGAAGCCTCGGCGCTCCTGGACTGGGTCGTCCAGAGCCAGGTGGGGCGGGATGCGTCATGTGTCCTCCCCCAGGGTGTGAGCGTCTGGTGTCCTCCTCCAGGCCGGCTGCGTGCACTTCCCCCACACGGCCCCGTGCGAGGTGCGCGTGCTCATGCTGCTGTACTCGTCCAAGAAGAAGATCTTCATGGGCCTCATCCCCTACGACCAGAGCGGCTTTGTCAACGGCATCCGGCAGGTCATCACCAACCACAAGCAGGTTCAGCAGCAGAAGCTGGAGCAGCAGCGTGGGGTGAGTGACGTGGGTCCCCTGACCGTCTTTCCCCCTCCTAGCACCTGCCCACCTGGACCCTGGCATGCATGGCCAGATTCCCCAGGGCCCCCTGGGGCTCCGGTGCCAAGAAGGGCTCCTTTCCTAAGATGTGGCCACCTAGGTTCAGTCCCATCCCCGCCTGTCCTCACGCTCTTTCCCTTTTCAGCATCCTCATAGCCTCTCAGAGACACAGCCTCTTCCGCTTGGGGACCTGGGGGATGTAAAGTTTACTTGCCAGATCCCCTGCCCCCAGGGAAACATTCCCAGCCCCTTATAGGTTCCCCTTCAGGGCTCAGAGCTTCTCAGAGCCAGTTGCTTACCTGCTCCCTCTCTCCCTGCACAGATGGGGGCACAGCAGGCACCCCCTGGGCTGGGCCCCATTCTGGAGGACCCGGCAAGGCCCTCGCAGAATCTGGTGAGGACAAGGCCAGCAGGGTCAGGGTCAGGGCCAGGGCGGGGGAGGCCCCGGAAGATGCTATTGTTCTGACCCAGCTGCGGAGGCCGATGGGTCTAGAGCAGCCGTCCCCAACCGTTTTGGTACCAGGGACGGGTTTCGTGGAAGATAGTTTTCCCACTGGCCGGGGACGGGGTGGGGGGAGTGGCTTTACAGAATGCTACCAGGTGCAGCTTAATCGTCACTTGCCATTCACGGATAGGGTTCTGATATGAGTCTGCCAGCGACCGATTCCTTACGGCCTCCCTCTGTGCAGTCAGATCTCTCTGCTCAGGTTGCTCTGTTTGCAGCTCCTCCCCCGCGCCGGGGCCTTAGCCGGAGCCTCAGACCCTCAGGCACTAGATTCTCCTGAGGAGCGCGCAGCCCAGGTCCCTCGCATGCTCAGTTCACAGTAGCCAGTAGGGTTCACGCTCCTATTAGAATCGAACAACGACGCTACCGCCACTATGACGGGGCGGAGCTCAGGTGGTGATGTGAGCAATGGGGAGCTGCTGCACAGACACCTGAAGCTTCGCTTGCTTGCTGGCCACTCACCTCCTGCTATGCAGCTGGTCCCTATCAGGTCACCGACTGATACCGGTTTGTGGCCTGTGGGCGGGGGACCTCTGGTCTAGAGCCTCTGTTCCTCGCCCCCATCTCTTTCCACCAGCTCCAGCTCCGCCCACCGCAGCCCCAGCCCCAGGGCGCCGTGGGGGCTCCTGCTGCAGCGGGGCAGCCCCAGGCCCAGGGCGCTGCCCAGGCCCCACCAGGCGCTTCCCAAGGCCCTCCTGGAGCAGCTCCCGGACCATCCCCTTCTGGACCTATCCTTCGGCCCCAGAATCCTGGGGCCAACCCCCAACTGCGGAGCCTCCTCCTCAACCCACCGCCGGTGAGATTCGGGATGGGGGGCAGCTGACAACACGGGGCCTGGGCAGTGGCAGTTCCAGACCTTCTGTCTGGGAGGAGGGACGTTGGCTTGATCAAAGGCTCCAGGCCCGCCAGCTCCTCTGTGTGTCTTTCCCGGGTGGGCTTCTGCTCAGATTCCTCTGAAGAAGGGCCCCACGAAAATGACTGGACCAGACCTTCCCTGCCAGAGGCTGTGGGGCAGGGCGGAGCTCCTGCTGGGGGCTCTGAGCCGCTCGTTTTGCTTCCCCAGCCCCAGACCGGGGTGCCCCCGCCACAGTCCTCCCTCCACCACCTCCAGCCACCGGGGGCCCCTCCACTGCTGCCACCATCTCATCAGGGCCTGGGGCAACCCCAGCTGGGCCCCCCGCTTCTGCACCCGCCACCCACCCAGTCCTGGCCTGCCCAGCTTCCCCCACGGGCGCCTCTGCCAGGTAAGGAGGTCTGGGAGGGGCCAGGGGTCTGGACAGAGGGTCCCAGCATCCCCCTGGCTGGAGCCCTAAGACCAAGGGCTCCCAGGAAGTAGAGTTCTGGTATTCAAGAGTAGTGGGTCCCACCTTGGGTTCTGGGGGGATGTGAGGGCCTGGGGACCGAGGACCCAGGAGTCCTTGGTCCCTGCGACTCCTTCCCTGCCTGACCTCTGGGGCTCTCTGGGAAGCATGGTCTCAGGGCCAGAGAGGTATTTAGGGGGGTGGGCTCCCAAAGGTCTGTGGGAGACGACATGCTTGTGTCCAGATGGGCCGGAAACGGCCTCTGATGGGTCTCCCAGCACTTCCTAGACGGCTCAGTGGCTCAGACTCTCAGAGGAGGAGGGAGAAAGCAGCCCAGGGCCCTTCAGGGCCCCAGGGGCTACTGGGAGATGCAGTCCCTTCCCCACTGCCCCCCAGGTCAGATGCTGCTGAGCGGGGGTCCCCGGGGACCGGTCCCCCAGCCGGGCCTGCAGCCCAGCGTCATGGAGGACGACATCCTCATGGATCTCATCTGAACCCCCGACACCCAATAAAGTTCCTTTTAACACACACCCCGGCTCCCGTCGCTGACGTCCCCAGGACTGGGCAGGAGGAGACCGGGGGAGACAGGCATCTCTGTCCTTGTTCCTGCCTCAGCAGGCATCCCCGAGGCCCCGGGCCAATGACGCCGGGGCCTTGGCAGCCTGGCTCAGGGAGACGTGGAGGCAGGCGGGCAGGGCTCACGGGGCCACGTGCTCTCGTGGAGACAGGGTATCAAGGGGGCTTGGAGGTGGCCTCAGAGCCAGGCAGGCTCAGCAGGGGCTTGGAAGAGAAGCAGGAGTCGGGGAGGCCAGGCAGGCCGCCCAGGTGTGGCGAAAGCAGAAATGAACGTGCGAGGGCAGGAGAGAACGGGGGTGTTCGGGGAGCAGGTGGGAGCCCCTGGGGCGCAGGCGTGAGGGGCTCGGGCTGCAAGCAGCAGCTCGAGGGTTGTCGTGGGGACACCAGGACCACAGGAGAGGCTGCGTGCAGGGGGCGGGCCTTGGTTTACCAGGAGTCGGAAAATCGGGGAGGAGGCTGAGGCAGTGGCTCTGGGAGCGGATAGTCCAGAGGTGGAGCCGGGGCAGAGTTGGGGGCAGGCGGGGTGAGGCTGGGACCGGTGTGCCGCGTAGAGGAGGTTGGGGGTGCAGGGGTGTTGAGGCCGGTCCCCAGAACCTGCCCTGAGTGCCGGTCGCTGGCGGGGCTTCCCTGAGTTCAGCAGCCGGGAGAGGAGCCAGCAGTGAACACTGATGGTCCTGGGTGTGTGCAAGTGACAGCTGCCGTGTCGGGAGCTGGTGCTGCGTCCTGAGGCGATGGTCTGTTTGGTGCTCGAAGTCATAGGAATGGACAGTGTCACACCTGGAAACGGGGAGGCCCAGGTCCCACTTAGAGACCTGCCTTCTGGGGCTTCAGACCAGTGGACAGTGCAGGGGCCGCCCCTGAGATGGGAAGCGCAGCAGGGAGTGGGTCAGGGGTGTGGGGAGCAAGGGGCCCGAAGGACGTCCTCAGGGAGCTGTCCTGGGGTGGCCGTGTGGATGCAGGCACAGGTGCGGGCCGTGCAGGTGGGCTCCCTGGAGGTGGAGAGTCCTTGTCTAATGTCAGAGTGCAGCCCAGTGTCGCTCGCCACGTGGTCCACATCCGGACCACCAGCATCCGCTGGTTTGGGGTGCCGGCGGACGTCAGAACCCCGGGCGGGCCTCGTTGCCATGTGGTGGCCCCCGGGCCACTCTGCAGATGAGTTTTGTTTGGCCTTCTCCGTGTCAGTGTCCATGGTGTTTTTTCCTGGTGAGTTAGTGGGAAAAACCAGGAGAATTCTCACACTCGCACACACACCAAACTGGTCATCTTGGCTTCTCTTGACAAGCCAGGAGACCTGGCACCCCGGGCCCGCTCTTGCGCCTAGCAACAGCGGGCCAGAGCCGCCCCCTTCTACCGGGTGCCCGCCCTGTCGTTCGCCACAGTCCCCACCACTCCCTCTCGCTCCCCTGCCTCTGTCCGCGGGCTCGCCCGCGTGGCGTGCAGGGAAAGTGAAACCTTTCTTGTACCTATGTCTCTACCACAAGTGACACAACCAAAGAGAGAACGAGAGGGCCCCGTGTTTCGAAAAAAATGGGAGCGAGACTATTTCTTTGTGGAAGTGAAGAGCATGCCTACGTGTTTAATATGCAAAAAAATCATGTCTGTGTTGAAAGAGTACAACCTGAAGCGCCACTACGAATCAAAGCACAGTAAGAGCTTCGACCAGTACACGGAGCAGATGCGGGACGCGCTCCTCACCGAGCTGAAAAAGGGCCTGACGGCTCAGTAGGGCCTGGTGGCCAGCGGGGGACACCACCTGGCCGCTGCACGCAGAGAGACTTCCCTGGGCGTTAAGGCCTCCCGCTGACAGCGAGTTGACAAAGCAGCGGAACGGCGGGCCCTGCACGGAGACACTCACCTGTTCAGGCCACAGCTGCAGGCGCCGATGTGCGCCGATGTGCACCGCACGTCGTGTGGGAGAGGGAGCAGGAGACTGGCAAGTCCAGCTGCTCGAAAGCGGCAAGTGGGTCGTGGCCTCTTCCGTCCCCACGCGTGAACCGTTCCCACAGCTGGCTTTATTTATTTGTGAGGTTGAGGATTCCTGTGTGACCGAAGCAGCCTGTGACACGGTGCCCAGGCGGGCCCGGCACCGGCGTGTGTGTGTGTGCTGGCGGGAACATTTTCCAGAGGTCGCAATGCCGGAGCGCAGCTGCACACTGGCGTGGTGACCCGGTGATCTGTCTCAGGGGGACTTGTCAGTGCACCTCGAGCCAAGCTGGCAGCATTTGGCGAGGACACAGAAGTTCGGTGATTGTGTCCATAGCCTGGACTTGCACTGTGTTGAGAGAGTGTGAGGAACACACTGTGAACGTCCTCGACGGGCTTCTGTACTTGAATCTAGGACAGGTGGATGGTGAACTTGACCCAGCGTATCCCACAGAAGCTCTGTGACCTGGATGTCACGTGGTGATGTGGAAGAAGTCGGACCTGCTGAAACCCATTTACCGGGTTCTTTTCACGAGAGGCAAGAGCCACACCTTGATTCCCCTGAGGAGGTCAGTCAAAGACTTCAGGTCAAGGTTTTGACCCTTCCGAACACTGTTATTTTTCCACAAGGACATTCACAAATAGCTACTTGAATGTATGTGAGTTTGCCCAGTCCTGGCAAAAATGGGGAGGCCAACATTCTGACTCCACTTCCTTTGCCGTGGTTGGTTCCCTGAAACAGAACACACGGCTCAGACCGAGTTCACCTGAATCGTGGGGTTAACGACCAGGTTCCCCCGAGGGCTCCCTGCGTCCGGACTCCGTGACGACGCACCAGTCCTGTCCAGTTTGCCTTTGTCGCTGGGTGGCGGCAGCGTGAGTGCAGACCGCAAAGAGCAGTTACTGACTCCGGCGCAGTGGGCGTGGTCTCCCCGCGGGGCCCTTCGCAGGGATCTCGGCCCTGCACTCCGCAGTGGGCGCCCCGAACCTCCGAGCCTGCGGCTTCCTGTGATGAAACCGAGTCGCAGGCCACCGCACTCCGGGGGTTCCGGGCTGGGTTCCCTGGTGCCCATCCTGCCGCGCCACCGGGGCCCGACGCAGACAACTCGGGGGCGGCGGGATGCCCTCAGCCTCCCAGCCTCCACTCAGAGGAGCGAGAGAAACTACGAAAAGAGAAAATTTTAATAAGGAAATCTCTCTATTTTTCAACTTGTATTTTTTCAACTTGGAATTTGAGATATGAGCTCCAGTACCAACCGTCCTTGTGTTTTGTTCTGTGCGTTCACCGCAGTTCAGTAAAGATGCAGTTTGATCGTATTTCTGGCCGTCGCCTTTTCTTATACCTGGCTAGTTCACTCATTTATGTGGCCCGCCTGGCTCCTGGAGGCATTTGAGTTTCCCATCCTCCCCGCCCTACAGTGGTTGAATCAAGTCTGGGGGCCGAGGGGAGGCTTTGAACAGCCCCCTAGGTGATTGTCACGCAAGCGGAACACAGAGAGGGACACGTGGGAGCTGGAGGGGACGCGGGCAGGGTTTCCTGGGCAGCGCGCACAGCGGGGCCTCCTGAAAACTCAGATGGCTTCACGGGCCAGGCAGGTGATGGAAATGTGTGACGCGGACGGGTGTAAGACAGTAGGGCGTGATGGGGACTGTGGCGAACCTGGAGAGTGCTTGCCCCGCCCAAAGGTGTTCAAATGAAAGACAAAACACACCGTGAGGACCAAACAAAAATCCGCTGGTGGGTCCAATGAGGCCTCGGGCTGCCATTTTGCGACCTCGGGGAGAAGGCGAAGACGTGAGGACCAGAACAGAGCCCTGAGGAAAACCCCATGCGTGAGGGTCGGGCAGGGAGCCAGAGGACAGGGGGGACCCGGCAAGCGTGTTCTAGAAGCCGGAGTGCTTTTGAGGAGAGTGACTGACTGTGTCCCAAGCTGCCGCAAGGGCAAGGAGCCAGCGCTGCTCCCACCAGGGCGGGCATTACCCTGCGGGGAAACTCTGGTCGGGTCCGGGACAGGCGGGTGAAAAGCAGCCGCCGCTTTGGCTGTTACTGGCTACTGAGGCTCCCTGACCTCAGCACCCAGGTAAGTGAACCTGAAAGCCTGCCACGCCCTGGTCGCTCGCAGGGGCCTGTTCACAGGCAAGGCAGGAAAAGCCCAGAGTGTCTGGGTTGCCCCCGAGATCGAGGAAAGATCTAGACACAGAACACACTCCCCCCACCCCCAGTCTCACAGTCCAGGTAAAGGCGACAACGGCAGCACTTAATCTGCCTGTTAGAACCAGCCGAGGCCAGCCCAGCCCGTCTCCGGGGGACGGTCTCCTCCGAGTGCCGGGTTCCAGCTGCGTGACTGCAGCAAGCAGTGAAGCCCGCTGAACGGCAGGCTCTAAACTGCAGCCCTGCACTGACTCGCTCTGTGGCTTCGGGCAGGTGGGTCCCTGTGCATCTCTGAACCTCCGGGTCCCCCTGTGTCGGGGAGTGACCTCCCCACAGGGCTCGGTGGCCGGCAGGCTCTGCACAGCCCTCTGCACCAGGGAGCTGCTGTTAGCTGGTCGGCTGTCCTCACTGCCTCCCCACCCCCTCTCTCTGGAGGGGGGCAGTGGCGGGCAGAACTCGCCAAAATCCTCGCAGCCTCAGTCCCTGAGGATTGTAGGAGGGTGAGTGAGTGGTTAGAACTATTTCATTTTTGAGCTTTCAGACTTTGCTTCCGGAGCTGGGGCGAGACTGGGCAGTGCGTGCAATTCCTCCCCAGGGAGTAGGTCTGGCAGAAGTGGCGGAACATAAAATGAGAAAAAACAATCAAGGCAAAACGGCTAAAACACCAACACATGAATAGTCGTGAGCCTGTCTGGGTGAGAGGACATGCCCACTACTGCCCCTTTAAGAAAAAGTTAGGAGAAAAGTGACACCTGAAAAAAATGGGATTTGTCTCAAGGTACACGAAACTCGCCAACAGAGGTTTTCCACCATCTTTTGTTTTTTAAAATTATTTTTAGAGGAATGGAGAAAGAGAGAGAAAAACATCAGTGTGTGGCTGTTTTTCACACGCCCCCTACTGGGGACCTGGTTCGCAACCCAGGTATGGGGTTCAATAAGCCAGCGCTCAACCCACTGAGCCACATCAGCCAGGGCAGCCCACCATCTTTTAAAATTAATTTAAAATATGTGTTAGAGTTACACACACTTGTATAGTTTTGTACAGATGAGGAAGTCCCGGAGTGTATAGAATAAAAAGCGAAGGACCCCTTCACCCCAACCCTCCCCTGCCCCCACCCCCGCCCACAAACACACTGAGCAAATCGCCTCCTTCCCAGAAGCAGATACATCGATGTGCCGTTGGGATGTACATGCCTGTGGTTGTAGACACGTGTACTGTCTCTCTTGTCTAAAATCAATCAAATATACGTGCTGTAAAGAATGGGGCCAGTTTCTGTACACTGTCCCTTATCCTGCTGCTTTTTCCCACTTGCGTCCTGGCCAGCCGTCTGCTCCATCCTGTTGTGTGGCCGTCCTGATTTTCGGTGGTTGCCGTCCACCGTCCATTAAATGGACTCAAGGACACACTCCAGTTCCACAGACTGTCCCAAATGGATGAGCTCTTGCTCCCTGTGTGACAGGTCCCACCACTCAGTGGCCGAAAACAACCGGCGTTTGTCACCTCCCAGTTGCTCTGAGTCAGGAAGCCACGCACAGCTTCCCTGGGTGCCTCTGGTTCAAGGTCTCTCTCAAGGTTATAGTTGAAGCTCCACCGGGGGAGGGCTCACTTCCAAGCTCACTCACCAGCTTGTGGGCGGGGTTCACTTCCTCCTCAGCTGCACACGGGGCCTCAGGGCCTCCCTCCTGATCTCAACAGGTAGCCCCTGCAAAGGGCAGCTCACTTCTCTGGGCGAGCTGGCTTCTCTGAAGGGGAGACAGGGCAGTCAAGGTGGAGCTCCAGGCTTCTCGTGACCAAGTCTTGGAGGGGCAGTGCTATCACTTGGGCTGTATTCTGTCCAGATCTGGCCCACACTGACGCTGAGCGGTTAAGGGGTGCCGCCAGGAGTTGGGGACCATGGGCCATCTTGGAAACAGCTTGCATGCTGCATGGACATTCAGCCAGCTGTGTGGTTCGTCCCTGTCATTAAAAATGCTTTAGAGGATATATGGAAATCTCCTTCCTTGTGCAGGAATTCCTGCGTGATAAATTCCTAGCAGCCAGTTTTCAGGATTGAGGAGTATGCCAATTTTATTGTTTATTTGACTTTGAAAAGGAAATTTATTTTTTGCATATTTAAAACCTTCATATGGTTCACACTTTCCAAAGGTTTCCAAAAGCAACCCAACACACAGTCCCAGCTCCCTCTGGAAACTACCAATTTTTTTTTAAAATAAAAAGATACTTATTTATTTCTAGGGAGAGGGGAAGGGAGGGAGAGAAACACAAATGTGTGGTTGCCTCTCACTTGCATCCCCACTGGGGACCTGGCCTTACAACCCAGGCATGTGCCCTGACTGGGAATTGAACCTGCAGCCCTTTGGTTTGCAGGCCAGCACTCAATCCATGGAACCAGCACCCAAGAATGATCCTTTTAAAATTAACTAATACAGGCCCGCTTCAACTCTTAACGACCAGTCTGACCCATTGCAATGTGTGCAGCTGAGGTGATCCAGGCTGCCGTCACTGGGAACCGTGAGTAGGGTGGAGCAGGTTGAACCAATCTCTAGGAGGTGATCAGGGATCCTGACAGTAACAGCAAACAGCAGCAGGGGCCCAGGTGGCCTGGCAGGTCATATTTGCAGTTCGTTCGTTTGGGAAATATTGACTGGACTCCCGACAGGGGTTGGGCTTCTGCCAGTGCAGAGGTGGGCTCGGCTCCAGCCCCCATGTGAGGAAGAAGTGGCCAGATAGCTCACCTCGCAGGGTGAGCTCTCTGTGTCCGCAGTGCTCAGCTCTAACGAGCAGACCTTGAAGGGGCCTTGTGAGAGTTAAATGAGAACTCACAGTTTCATGCTTAATAAGTACTACACGTTCAACTATACAGGTCATTCTTTTATTTTTTAAAAGATTTTATTTAAATTATTGTTCAATTAAAGTTGTCTGTATCCTCCCCCACCCTCACCCCCCGTCAAACCCACCTCCCTCCCTTGCTTCCACCTTCCCCTTGGTTTTGTCCATGTGTTCCCCATAGTAGTTCCCTATGTATTTATTTTGGAGGAGAAGGGAAGGAGAGAAACATCAGTGTGGGGTTGCGTCTTGTACACCCCCTGCTGGGGAGCTATCCCGACTGGGAATTGAACTGGCAACCCTTTGGTTCCCAGAGCCACACCAGCCAGGGCAACAGGTCATTCTTTGATAGGGAGGGCGCGCCAGGTAGAGGGCACAGTGCAGGCAAGGCCTGGAGCTACAGACTAGTGGACACATTGCGGCTAGTAGATTAGATTAAAGCGGCCCGAGTGTGTGTGTGGTCCAATCATTCTGTTAGCAAATCCGTACATCTCAGTGGCTTAACAGGATTGTCTCCCTTTGCCCCACCCGCGACGTGTTAGTCTGATGTGTCCCACTGGCTCTCCTCCAGCAGTGATGGAGGGGTATCGTGCTTGCACCCCATAACCAGTCCCTCCATTTGGGGGTCCTCAGGCCGCAGCGCTGGGAAGGAGCGCTCACTGGCTCGCAGCTGCCTAGGACCGGAAGTGACGCTCGTGACGGAGGACGCTCACGCTGAGCCCCTACAGGGAGAAGTCCCTGGTCCCAGCCTCCTACGGGGAAAGCAGGGACGAGGGCTTTCTTGGGGTGTGAACGCATCCCGGGCCCTCTGTCGAAGCGTGCAGTAGGTTAGACCTCGAGAGCCCTGTGCAGGGCTCTTGGGATAGAACTGTGATGAAACTAGACTTAGTCCTTGCTTCCAGTTTAGTACGGGAGACACATAACTCCGAATTACAATGAGAAAGTGGAAGAAAGGCTGTATAGCTCTTGGGGAGCATGCATCAGACAGATTTTTGTTTGCGGACATTATTTTGTCATTGCAAAAAAACGAAACTCAAGACACACTGCCTTATTCCCATTTAGTCCATATTGTCCTCACGTCCTTGTCTGTGTCACATACACGTGCAACCTATTTGTACTCCCGGTTTGCTCTTTTAGTGAAGTTGGTGAGGCCCATAGTTGATTAGCTAAACAGGATTGTTTGAGGATGTATTTCTGTCTCAGGCTAGGTTGGGTTACGTTCCAATGACAATCTCCACGTTGCAGTGGCTTGGAATAGCAAACAAGGGTTTTCTCACTCATGCTCGGTGGAGAGCTCACTCATGCTGAAAGATCCCAAATATTGCCAAGTAGCACGGG